GGTACAAATAAGTTACTAAATACACAAAACACATCACGTATACAAATCAAACATCGTGTGCATACATATAACAGGCTACAGCAATCTGTTTTGCATTAAGTACATTAATAAATGAAAAGGAGTTCAGATTACAAATAAAAATGAGATATAAAATAAAATCACCATGTGTGTAAATAATATTACAAGCTACAGCAATATGTTTTTAAGTACACTGATAAATAAAAATGAGATACAGATTAGAAATAGAAATGAGATAAAAATATGAACTTGTCAATTCAGAATACGACAATTTTGTCTCAACAGATCTGAAGACTCTCCTACATACATACATCTAATTATTCCTTTCTGAAATTTCACATTACAAATTAATACCAAATGCATTATAAAAAATGAAATGTTGAAAAATAAAAGGAAATAAATCACTATTTTATCATGTACAAAGTTATTAGTAAATAAGACACTAACACAAAGATGGCATAAAAATAAAGACTTTAAATAGCCTATTGAACGGTTTATTCAACTGAACATGTACCAATACCCAGAATGTGTTTAAACGAGAAAATTATTTTTTTCCAAAATCATATAAGTGGGTTGGTACCTTTTGAATGCCTTTTGTTTTTATTTTTTTTTATTTAAGATCTTTCAACTACTTTTTATAAATATTATTAAGTGATTTTGTAAGATAAAGTGATTTTAAGCTTAAACATTTTTTTGCCAGTAATTTTTTTAATTAATTTTTTTTAAAGAAATATTTAACAATTAAAATGTTTTTCTTCTCCTACAATTTTCAATGTTTTTGCCGCAATTTTTTTATTGTATTTATTTAGAGTGTTCTTAATAATTTTAAGGATCAATTTTGCAATTAATAAATTAGTTTCCGAGAACAAAAAATAAAAAGCATATTTTTTATGTAAAAACTTTGGGAAAAACATGATCTCAATCACATTTTCACTTCAAAAATTTTTCTTTTCACTATTTTGAAAATTCATTTTTGTTTCTATTAAGTATACAATTTTAAATACACAGTAAAAATATTAAATAATTTAGTCTATATCTGTGTAAGTCCTAAGACTTTCAGTAAAATGATTTATTGAAAAAATGCAAACTAAGAAAACAGAGTTTAGAGAATTTACACTGTCTGAATGGTCATTAAATCATTTCAAATTTGTTAAAAATTTTATTATTGAACTTCAATACATATATACACATAAAATAAAACCTAGTACTATTCAATTGGTTAATATAAACTTATAATTACACTCTTTCATTTAAAACTTTATCTGGTCAGAAATATTGCAAAAAAATCAAAAAATGCAAGAATTTTTTTTTACCTGTTTTTGTTTTTTAAAACACATTCAAAACAATTTTAATACATGAATTAATTATGATATATTTTCTAAAGCACTTATAATGAATATTAATAACATTAATTTGCTGCATTATTCATTTTTTCAAAGCAAAATTTGAACAAATGTAAAACATTTTATTTAAAACCACTCAGCAGCACATGTGATTTCTTCTCTCCTTTTAGCCATTTGTTCTCACATATAGCATATGTGATTTCTTCTCTCCTTTTAGCCATTTGTTCTCACATATAAACTGCATTTTAAATTAATTCAGATGTGTTTTAATTAATTAAAGAGTTTAATGTCTGTTCCAGTTCTATAATGTTACAGTCAGGAACTTGATCACTTTCATTGGACTATGTCTTTCTGTTCCTATTTTATCACAAATAATTTCAGTTTCTGAAGAAGCATAGCAAAGCTGGCTGATAATACACATAGAAATATTTGCTGAAATATTATACATATAATTGCTGAAATGCATATATATAAACCTGCCAGTTAAAAGGTTAAAAAAATTTCCCATCATCATTTTGCATTTAAATAAATCATTTTATACATATAAACAGAGTTTGCTGATTAACAACATTCCTCTTTTACACTGATTTTTAATAAGTTACTGAAACAATTAAAAAGTAAAAATAAATAAATAAATAAACACTAAAGGGGTGTGGCATTTAAAGGGCAGTCAAATTTTTTAATGTGTTTTTATACCATTTATTATCGTCAGATCATTTCAAAATTTCTCTTCAGTGTAGTAAGGATATTACGATATTTTTTTAGCAAAAAATTTAAAAATTGGTAATTCTATCGATTTTGGAAACCAAGCACATATTACCTAACACAAGTCTCAAACTGGTGGGCCCCAAGCAGTTTTATGATACCCACTAAGAAATTTAAATTGGTATTTGTTGCAAACATTTCAAGATTTTTGTTACTATAGCTAGTGCATAGAAAGGTCGCTTTGTTTGAGAATACATTTATAAGTAAACAGCTTTTTTTCACAATTGAAAATTAATGAGAAAAGAACCTGATTGTTCAGTCAGCATTTACAACGCATTACAATTTGTAGTGATCTCTCTTCAAGGCTTCAGTTTTTATCAGAATCGAAACACCATCAAGTGTAGTAAGAAACAAAGAAGTTTATAATTACTCACATACAAACATATACATTTTTATTAATGCATCCAAAAAATTTTCATGAATAAGTGAAAGAGAAAAGTTGCTATTATTTATTCCCAAATTTTATCTCATTTGGTAAATTTCCTCTCAAAAACTGTTTAATATTTTTTTTTACTTTAAATTAAAGTTATCAAATAATTAAACATATTATAATTATTTAAAAGAAATGTTAGTCTTGGAATTTAATATTTAGTTGCCAATATATTTGAATTACAAAGGACAACTAGCAAAAAATGTTTTACACATACCAAACTTTACATTTCATATTAAATATAAATTTGAATTTATTACTATTTATGTATGTTTTAATATATATTTAGGAAACAAATTTTAAAAGTTATTAAAACTATTTTTATTTTGTTTAAAAAAACATTCTGGCCTGTCAGCTGTTTTATCTTGCATTCAGACAACATGCAATTTAAGTTGAGACCAACGACCTTTTATATAGATCACCTGCATTAAGTTACAAGTGAAAATGAATTAAAAATGTGTTAAAATGCCATATTTATGATATTAAACTCTGTTTTACTGAAATTAAACTTTCAAGTCAGGTTCTGTTTTATAGGAATGAAATAACTTGAAAACTTAAAATGTCAACTGAATAGAACTTAAAACTACTTACTACTTGTGAAAATTAACACATTTTAAGCTCATGGAATTGAAAGAAAGAGGAGTAACTTCTACAATTTTTTTACTAAATATATATAAATTTCTAACACTTCTGAACATTTGTACTGCATGTATGTAATTAATCTTCATGAAAATAAATTTTTTGGTTATTTATTGATACAGAAAATGATCAGAAACACATAAAAGTTCAAAATGTAATCATTAAAAAAATTCTTAAAAATATAAATAAAAATTCAATGGAAGTTTGATACTAAACCGCTGTCTGAAGTCCATGAAAATGAAAGAATTATATTCCAGGTACAATATAGATTAGGGATAGTCAACCTGGTCCCTACTGACTACTAGTGGGCGATTTAAGCTTTCATGGTGAGGCATTAGAGGTTTTTGTCCAGTGATGAAGCTCAAAGCAGAGTGAAACACTCCCAGTAATGCATTAATGTATACATATATATACGTGTGAAATTACATTTAATTCTTTACTTGACTGTATCCCCGCATGCAGAGCTTACTCCTGTTTCCATATATTTATATGGTTTTAACATTTCTCTTATGTGTTGTTCTGTGACTATAATGCAAATAATGGGGTTATCACATCTGCTACCTACCCTCAACAGTGGCCGAAAGAAACATTTATGTAATTTTAGCTTTCGGATTATCTGATTGATTGATTGTCCTACATGAAAACCAGTTCTTTGGGAAAAACCTACAAGGGACAAAGCTTCCGGCGAAAAATTTTCATCTCTGCTGCAAAATGTCTCATGTAACTAGTCGGGACATCAGTTCCAGAGAAACTGTTTCAGCTAGGAACCTTCCAATGGTAGAAGGGCCTCATTTCTGAGACAAATTTATTCTAGCCTCACATTAGATAGGATAACCCCATAATAAGGAATGAGGCTAAGAGAAACTTGAGAAATGAGCTTCTCTTTCTTCTATCACTCGAGGGTTCTTAGCCATAACAGTTTATCTGGAACAAATGCTCTGACTAGCTATGTAGGGCATTTTGCATTAGAGATGAAAATTTTCAAATTGAAGTTTAAGCCTCATACATTTTTCCCAAAGAAATTGTTTTCATATACAGTCAAAAGTCGTTAATTCGGACAACCATAATCCGGACCTCAAAGCTAAAAACTTTCTGCGCATGCGCAGCGTTGGCACATGCGCACAGGCGTTGCGCGTAAGACCTTGACTACTGCGCATATGCGTGTGCGCAAGTGCAGAATACGTTTTCGCCAGCTCGTTTAACGTATAACGGACGGTGTAAGCTAAAATTTTCTAATTATCTATTTCAGTTAATGTTGCAGATTGCGTTGTTCCTTAATCTTGGAATTGGATCAGGCTTATTATTTTTTGCAGACTGTAAGAGCAATTTTATAAAAGTAAACTTGAACTTTCGATTATGTCAAATAGAATTTCCGATGCTGGAACTTCCAAAGCATCTACAAAACGAAAGTATGTTTCGATGTCCAACAAACAAAAAGGGAAATTGCTGCAAAAAATGGATAAAGACATGAAGAATGTGACAGACAGGTTAGTGAAAACAAAAAATTTCGATTGATAAGTTAGTCGGTATTCTCGGCACAGCAATTAACGGGACTTGAACAGCGGAACTTTGTAACTGAACAAGAAATTATGTCTTTTTATAGAATTAAAGAGAGAGTATTATCACATAAAATGAAGCAACTTAAACAACTTACATTGAGAGAAATGTTTAATAAAGTAAACAAATAAATATTAAGCTTTTTTTTTTTGTAAATTTTGATACCCTTTATATCATAATTGTTCTTTATTTCATAAATTACAGTTTCATATTTTTAATTTTAGAATTTCTGCATGCCATCTTACGAGATTTAAACTGATGATCTATAATCCGGAAAAATCGATAATCTGGAATCGCCGAAGTCCCGACGAGTCCGGATTAACGACTTTTGATTGTAGATCAATCAATCAGATATCCTGAAAGCTAAAATTCTGGGAAGTGCATTTTTCAAGGCACTGCTGAGGCTAGGCAGTAGATGTGATACTGGTTTAACGAAAGCAGGATGTCATCGCTCAAGTTTCAAGTTGAGTTTGTTTCAGTAGGTAATATCTAGTTAGATTTGTAAAATGAACATGTGTCTATAGCTTAAAATAGGTTTTATGAATTGTGTTTCATAACTTATGTCTCAAGGGGGAGCGAGATAAAATAAATATGCTCATGGTTACTCAACAGAATATCTGAAGATGGATTTTATTGAATGTGTTGCAAATAAACAAGTTTTAATGTGTTTAATATGCATTAAAACATTATCAAATAAAGCAATGAAGCCAACTCAATCGGAAGGACACCTTGCTACAAAGCACCAAAAACACACCGATAAGGTCATTAAATATTTTTTAAATACATGTAAAAAATTTCAAAATCACCCAAAATTAGCTGCACCATTCAAGAAATAATATTCCATTAATGAAGATGGATAAACGGCCTTATCATCTATCAGAATTAATTGCAAAAAGTGGTAAAAAGGTATAACATTGGTAGAGCTTAAATAATACCCTCTATAAAAGAATTTATTTCGACAGTGATGCATCAGGATATACCTTAAGCTTTGAGAACATTGTCTTTAAATGACAGCAGAATAAAGTGATGAATTGAAAAATTGGCAATTATTGTTGAAAATAAACTTATAAGGTATTCTCGAAACCTCTTCGTTTGCTATGCAATTGGATGAGTCAGCTTGCAAATAATGTTCTACTAGTGACATATGTATGCTATTTTGATAAAAATAACACACTACAAGAAGAAACATTATTTGCAATAAATCTTATTATATATACAATAAGAATTATCAAAATTTAATGCTGTAAAATCATACTTTAAGAAAAAAATAATATATTCTTGAACACTATTGTTGCATATGCTACTGATGGAATATCATCAAGAGTAGGCCCCCTTATCATGGATTTATTACTTATTTAAAGAACGAATTTCCAAATATTTTGTGCATTCATTGTATGGTGCATAGATATGTTGTGGCAAAGCTTTTAGGTACAAGTATCCATTCATCATTGAGTGTAATAATTAAAGCTGTAAACTAGATAAAATCCAATGCCAAGCATTGTAGAATGTTTTGACAGTATTATGTCAGGACAATAATGATGATTTTGTTAATATACTTTTACATACAGAAATTCGATGGTTGCTGAAAGGTGCATGTTTGTTTTGTTTTGTAGTATTATATAACCATATCACACGGGTTTTTTTTTAAATATTAATGACAAATCTTTGTTAAGAATTAAAAATAATAAAGGATGATGCTTTTTATTTTGGCAGACATTTTATGAAATCAATTTTCAGCTTCAAGGAGCCGATAAAGCTCATAATCAATTGCAAATATATTGTATTTGACAATAAACTTGATCTTGAAGTGCTGCAGTTCACGAGTTTCGCATGTCCTTGAAGACGGTAATGACCTTGGGTTTCGATCCCGTGTCTAATGCGAGTCAAATTCTCTACCACTAGCGCAAAAGAATATCACCTTTAGCTTTGTTGATTCGTCATGCTACCCAGTGGCACAGAGGAAGGTATTCCAGTGTACTTTTCTGGTTTCATTTTTCTTAACATTTGAGTTAGCTCCAAAATCGCTACGAGAGAGAAAAACCAGTTTCAGAAAACACATTAAGCATTTCAAAGATCCTTTTTGACAAATCAACACAATTTCTGCTCCTTTCCCATTTCTTACCACTTAATGACGTATCTTTCGCCATCAAAAAGACGTAATAGTAGAAATAATCAGTAGGGTCACATATTTTACTTTGGTTTTAAGTCTACCTACCCGTAGTGCATCCAAAAAATGGGAAGTAATAAATACTCTACGAATTTTTGCAACCTCGAGTAAGAGATCTAGATGACATTTTAAACATCCTAGATGCAACGGATTTTTGACGGATAGTCACTTAATGGAGGGTGAATTTAAGGATACGCTTAAAATAAGCTACGCAGTGCCATTTCCCTCTATTTCTAATGGAAAAAGGGATAGAATTTAGAAAGTACGAATGTTAGAGTAAACACAAATGGAAACGTTAAATACAGATACTTAGATGGGATGACTCCTTTAATAGTTATTAAAGTATGGTAGTTGCCACACTGCGTAATGTTGGTGATGTTTTCGGCTTCACTGTTTCGAGGAGTTGAATTTCCTCTAATCTCCTTAATATTTATTCAACGATAGGGAATTTGCTGCCCCCCCTTCGCTACACCACAGGGGATAAATCAAACAAAAGTGTAAGCAAGTCTTGTAAAAGATTATCTTCCCTAGAAAATACAGCATGTCTTGTGAAAAGAAAATAATTACTTACAAAATCCTGTTTCCAACACTAATAAAGTACCTAATTATACATTAAAATTTCCTTACCATAACCTACAGAGACAGAATTTCATTAATATCCCGAATTGTCACCTGTAAAAGATGATTAATTCCTGAGGTGGGTGAAAGGTTTAATGATCACCTTCCTGAACTTAAATGGAAAAATAAAAATGATTTGATGATATTTTAAAGTTGAAGTGTTTGACTGGATGAAAAATGTTTTTAATGTAAATAACACTGAGATTGATATTACTTGACATGCAGAACAGTTAGAATTCAAATATGATGAAGAGAGTAAATATACTTTTGATGATGGCAGATACCGAAAACCTTTGGCTAAATACAATAATGATAATTAAAAAAAACGCATTACTTTTATGTGTGGAATATTATACCTAATTTATTGATACTTTTTCCTACCTCATATCTCCCAGAATCAGGCTTTAAAGCTATTAATTATATTATGATTAAAGAGAGAAACCATCTGAATATTTCTTAAAAAGGACTTTGTTCCTTTTGAATTGTTTGTTCCTCAAGAAAATAAACCAGGTTTCAAATATTTAATCTCACAGCGTATCAGCCCCAAGGATCTCATTAATAACTAATTAAAAATATAACATTTAATCTTTGTTTACTTCAATTTAAGTAGTCTTTTGTTTTTTAATATACATTCCATCTATTATAATAAAGTATAAATAAATGGATGAATTTGACTATATATATTTTACTAAACCTCCACTCAAAAAACTACTTTGCAGTCACACTAAATTAAACCAGTGACGAACCGCTGGGCAGCACGAAATTTTATTACCTACAAAATGGGTGGTAGGTATGAAAAGGTTGACTACACCTGATGTAGATGAAGTTACAGCAGTAGAACCTTTTTTAAAAAGATATTCCCCTTTTCGCGGTCATATATAATATAAAAGCTCTTAAGCTTAATAACGCAATGTAAACCAATAACAAACTCCTCACCATACCCTATGCTTTCTTGAATTTACAAACACATGCATTTGAAGAGCAAAAGCATGACCAACATGTTTTATACAAATGAAAATAACCATCTTCTCTTTATGCAAAGGAAAATAAACTAAATTCAAACAAAAGCATCTATCAAATGCACAAAATAGTATAAATACAACATAGTACAGTCAAAAGTCGTTAATCCAGACTCGTCAGGATTTTGGCGATTCCGGATTATCGATTTTTCCGGATTATAGATCATCAGTTTAAATCTGGCAAGATGGCATGCAGAAATTATAAAATTAAAAATATGAAACCGTAATTTATGAAATAAAGAACAATTATGATTTAAAGGGTATCAAAATTTACTAAAAAAAAAAAAAAAAAAAGCTTAATATTTATTTGTTCACTTTATTAAACATTTCTTTCAATGTAAGTTGTTTAAGTTGCTTCGTTTTATGTGATAATACTTTCTCTTTAATTTTATAAACAGACATAATTTCTTCTTCAGTTACAAAATTCCACTGTTAAAGTCCTATAATTGCTGTGTGGAGAATACCGACTAATTTGTCAATCGAAATTTTTTTGTTTTCAATAACCTCTGTGTCAGTTTCTTCTTTATCAGAAGCCAGTTATAATGACGAGGAATTTGATTTAAATCATATCAAAGACGGAGTACATCGAGATGAAATACTACATTTAGTAAGGAATTATAAGCCAAATAAAATAAAAACATCTGCCCTGAAGATAAGGATAGTGCTGACAAATTAACTTGCAATTCATTGCACGCCACGGCGTCCCCCCCCCCCGAGCCGCAGCGCAGCGTGAAATTGATAAACAGATTTCGGAATGGTTAGAGAAACGAAGGTTATGCATTTATCCATTTTTTGCAGCAATTCCACTTTTTGTTTAATGGACTTCTAAACATACTTTCCCTTTGTAGATCCTTTACATATTAGTAAATATATATCAGGAATTCTATTTGACATAATTGAAAGTTCAAGCTTACTTTTATAAAACTGCTCTAACAGTCTGCAAAAAATAATAAGCCTGATCAACCCGAAGATTAAGGAACAACGTAATCTGCAACATTAACTGAATTAGATAATTTTAGCTTAGCTTATACCGTCCGTTATACATTAAACGCACATTCGTAAATGTATTACGCGCATGCGCACATGCATATTTGTGTTGGCAGTGGTGATAAAGGCAAAGCATATGTTGCTTTCCTTTAACAATATGTTGCTTTTACTGTCCGTTATACCGTTAATTCGTTTTGACTTTGAATACGACTTTTGACTGTACTAAGCTTTGCTATTTAGTATTATAGGTTAATTAGAGATTTGATGCAAGTTTGAAAAGGCAGTAACATGATGGAATCAGATTTGAGCACTTTTAAAAATGGCATACAAACACGAAAGCCATGAGACTTAAGCTTGATGGGTGTTCATGGCCAGTCACAGTAAGTACTTATAAAATGTTTCCCTAGGGTGCTCTCCATTAAAACTGGAGGTGGAACTGAGCTAAATCACACTGTCACCTGTATGGTCCTTAAGGCTGTTGCCAACAACAGGCATATCTTACGCTCTTGTCACGAAGAATTTCGTGGGCTTGGGCTGATATCACATGTCAGACAAGTCAGCATAAGTAGCAGTACACAACAACAACTTTTAAAATGTAATTTTTAGATTATGCTAGCTATAGCTCACTGATGCTAAAAATAAGCAATGGTTATACTTTTTTATACAAGCAAGGAATACTGTTTGACTCACTGATAATTTTACGACTAGTGATAAGAATTAAATATCACAATTTATGTTATGCACCAAATCTTGCTGTATGCTAGGGCCCACCAGCGGCCGAGCGGTAAAGTCGCTGAACACTGGTACTTCGGTCCGAGGTTCGAATCCCGCGAACGGGCTGGCTGCATGGGTGTTTTCGTGGTTTTCCCCATGTGTAACGTGTATACGAGCCAGTTCCCCCTAGAAAGTCCTCCACGAAGGCATCCCTCCCATTAGGCAAATAGCCCTAGTGTGCTTTGCCATAATTAAATACACCACTACTTGCTGTATGCTAATTAATCAATCTAAGTAAATAAGCTAACCTTAGTTTACTGAAAGAATTGCCTTACAAAAGATATTTTAAGCAGTATACAGATTCTAATTTTCTGTTCTAGCATATTACTTAGACATAAGTGGTTACCTGGATATAAGTGCTGATTTTTAATTAAAATACAAGCAACAGCACCTTAACAAAAAAATAAATAAATAACTGATGGGGGAATAATTGTATCTGGGGAAATGTTTTGTTAGAAAACTTTTACTTCAATCATACATAGACACTCTGATATTTAAAATATACCTAAATATCTCTGCGAACCCAGTGTTGCCAGATTGTGTGATTTTTCACAAATTTGTGACTTTTGACAAACTTGTGCTACTAAAATTTTAGTATTTGCGATTTTGCAAAATTTTTGCCACCTCCATCATTTATGTATGCTACTTTTTGTGACTTCAAAGATTTTTTTTAATATATCATAAAATGCTTACATGTTAAAATAATGTATCAAATAAAAATAATTTCTATTCCAAAAAAAGTTTATTTAGGCTTAAGTAGAAGTTGGCATCTAGCAATCCGTTTTACATGTGGGCTTTTAATTTTCAAGGCTGCACAGTCTGACGTCGGTATAACGAGAAGGGGATAGAGAGAAAAAGTGGGAAAGAAAGGAAAAAAACTGCTTCGGAACCTCTCACCTTCCCCCCTCATCCCCATGCATTTTGTTTACCCCCTTAAGTTCTATGCTGATAATGAATCAAACAAAAGAACTTTCAGTTTAGGCACCATATACTGGGTACCAAAGCAGAGGAAAAAATGAAATTCCTTCTCCTGATTATAATATTGCTAAGAACTAAACTATAGAAATGACTTAAAAATCAAAGCTTTTTTTTTTTTTTTTTTTTTTTTTTTGTTAATAACACAAATAAATTTCACAGTGAAAAAACAAGGCTTTTCTAAGCAATCAGAATCTGAAATAAGCCCAACAGGCAGAATGGAAAACTCACTGAAAAAACTACTTTCCTCAATTAAAATGTTCACAATAAAGCAAAAATAAATGAATAAATAAACAAATTAACTGCCAACTAAAAAATTTTGGAACAAAAGCACTAACAGTCTAAACGTGAGGAATCTCTTGAATGGATATGCACAAATTAATTTAAAAATAGAACCTAAATTAAATGAGAATTAATTTAAAAAGAAATGGATATTTAAACAACTGAAAATGAGCAATAAAGTTTTAGAATTTTTGTTAAAGTG